AACAAAAAGTACTTCATCATTTACAGTATATGATTTTTTCAGTCTATGTCACCAGGCTATATTTTTAGATATTGCATAATATTTCTGCCATAGGAACCTGTGGTAAAAGTGTTATAATAGTGTCAAAATGGCGACTTTCAACTAAAATACAACCATCAATTTCTCGAAAAAAAGGCTGGTGACCTCCAACTTTTATTAGGTCAATATGCTTATATTGCCTTGGAGTACATTTTATTGTAAAATGAATACATTCTGGGTATTTTAATTTATTCTACCTTAAATGTCGGATGCGCAGTTATCAGTGGAATTTGCGTAGCATGTTATCTTTACCTGTAATAGTTATAAAAAACAGATAGGTATCATTTATCACTAAAAAAACGCCATTCAATTTTGAATTGTTATATATAATGTTTTCTTATTTTTCCCACAATAGACACATTTATTCATGTAATGAACACCACTAATGTGACTGATGTTAGAAACCTTGCCAATTTTGTTTCCTGTGCAGCTAAGAAACGTAATTCAACAAGATATATTTTTAGTATTATTGTAATGCAAGTTACTGTTTATTTGAGTTCTGGGTTGTTATCCTAGTGCAAAGTGTAGCACAAACAGTTATTAAGCGCTTTGTAATACATTTTTATAATATCAACACACCTTCAGCTTCGAAACAATGATTCGTATGCCCAATTGAAGTGTAGCATCGAATATAACCAACCACATTGATGTATGAAAACAAAAAAATACCCAACAGTTAAACATATAATAGAACATATTCAGTATAAAACTTGCCGGGTTTCATCTGCAATCTACTACTGAGAACCCATTCTGTCGCCTGCAGATATCTAAAATGCCATTGGAAGGGCTCGGACAGTGTTTATAATTGACCATGCTTACAAAGAAGTTGTCAAACATCGCCAGCTGAGATTCAGTAGGACTGTCATGTAAATATGTCATTCATTCATTCATTCATTCATTCATTCATTCATTCATTCATTCATTCATTCATTCATCCATTCATGGGGCACATGCCAGGGTGGCACCTTGCTGCGCCCACCCTCCGAGCAAGTGTCCAAGCCTGGGCACAGCCTATGCCCCATAACTCATCGAGAAACCCGCTCATCTGCCTCATCTGTCACGAATCCAGCAGGTGAACCTCACCTTGCCAGCCTCCTTGAGTACTCTGCTGTTGGACACATGGTCCTGCCAGAGTGTTTGTGTCCAGGCCTCACAAGAATATAGTAAGACCGAGAGCACAAGGGACTTGAAGACTCAGACCATTACACCTCTATCCTGACATCGCGAACGCCACACACCTTTGTTCAGCAATCTCATATAACCCTGTGCAAGACCAAGACAAATGAATGAGTGACATCCACATTCCCTCCATTCGCCAGGAATCTTGATCTTAACCCACGACACATATAGTCCAAGCGCTTCGGTCTCCACACTCAGTGCATCAAGTGCTTCCACTAGAGAATCAATCAACTCGGCAAACAATGCGGCATCATCTGCAAAGTCAAGATCAGTTATCTTGACACTTCAAAATGAGACCCTACAACTTATGCATTCCATCACACCTCCCATCTTCCAGTCCATACAAGTGTTAAAAAGCATATGAGCCAGT